AACCATGCCAAATTAAGTGTACCAACATTCTAGAAACAGAGTAATGCATTTTCTGTATAAATGAAAGGATGAATCTAAACCTGAATGAAATGCTTCCTTTAAAAAAATTAATTTTTCCTCCGATACTGTTTTACAAACCACAACTCTTCATGTAAGAGACATAGGAAAAAAAAAAATCTCGATTTACTATTTATTTAATCAAACTTATCACGTAAACAGGAGTTTTATACAGAAACTAATTGCTACTATAAAGTTATATATATTTACACACTTAACACATGTGCTTAAGTCTACACACTGAATTTCAACCTCATTTTTTCTACCTTCTTCTTCCACAACACCACAAACCTGTAGACAATAGACATTCGAGCACAAAAGGAAGCTTTTACCTTAATTTAGGATTATCAATGTATTTCTTAAACTGCTTGACGTTATTCAAAGTTTGTTCAGCTAACTCTCGGGAGGGCTCAACGATGAGAGCTTTTGGAGCATTGGGGAGGAACTTTGTTTGTGACACCTGTGCATTACCTTAGGAGAATTAAAAAGATCAGAACAATCATATCTCAAAATACCTTTATTTGTAAAATGTGCACACAAATATTCCACCAGCAAAATTTTAAGTAACAATTGTCAAAAGGTATAGAAGATAGTCAAGCAAAACAAAACAAAGATTCCTAAAATGAACTAAGGTTTCTTTAAATCTACTTGCAATAATTGCAACTGATTATATGTTGAGTGATAAAGTAAACAAGCTATGAAATGTACTTACTTTAAATAACTGAAACAGATTAGGAAGTACACTAGGTAAGAAAGAATATGAGCTCTGGAGTCAGACTTCAGTTCTACCACTTACTTGCTCTGTGATTTTGGACAAGTTACTTCAAGTGTCTACTCCTCAAGTTCTTTGTCTGTAAAGTGGGAAGAGTACTACCTTACAGGTTGTGAAGACCAAATAATCCAATAAAGCACTTAACACAGTGCCACGGCACGTAATAAGCACACATTTTATAAATACTAGATATCTTCATCATGATCAGGTTCCCCGAAATCCCTAAACTAAAACCAAATTCTTAAAAGAGTTTATGAATTAGATTTTGGAACTGAAACTTATGGATGTGTCGAGTGAAGATATGTGACTGAATCAGCAGGGGGATCACCTGTAACTCACTCAGTATGAGAAGTCTGCTACTAGAGCTTTCATCAATACCCCAACCCTAAAATTCTTACCCCCCCAGGTGTAATACCTGTGTGCTGTGATTTGACAACGTAACCATCTGATGCCTTGGAAAGAGCAACAAAACCATCTTTTGGTGGAAACTTGAAGTCTTCTTCGCCGAAGTTAAATTTTAGTTCGGCATTCTAGCAATGAACAAAGGAAAACATGAAAATTCTTAACTGAACAGCAAACTAATTAATATAAAATAATGCAGATCAAAGTAGCTTATAATTACGGCAAAATGTTTTCGTTACCTTTAAAACACAGGCAGGAAAGAGGGCTTGGTTCTTCATATGTGGCGGTATTTCAAAAGCCAGACCAAGGTCTTTTCCTTTAAAAAAGTGAGAGAGGGAGTAAAACTACCAGAAAAGACCTCCTACATTTCACGCCATTAAATCTACCCACCTACCTGCATTCCTGCTTTCCTTCCTGTTACCAGGGAAAAACTGTGCTGCCTAATGCCAACCTCTTCACTTTTTTACTTTACTCTTGTAACCGTCCCCTCTCCTCCTCTACATTTTTAATTATTCCCTTCCTACCGGATCACTTCCATTAGACGCTTCACCTAGACATTCCATGGCATACAAACACTAGCTCCCAGATTAAACACAGACCTCCTGAACCCCTCGTCGTCTTCCATATGCCTTCTGTTTTTCTTCTCCCTTTTGTAGTAAGACTCCCGTGACTCCCATTCTCACTGTGTCCACTTCAGTCCCTCCCACCCTCCACTGAACTGATTCCCAGTCAGGCTCCCCCGACTCACCCCTCGCCCCACCAGAACAGCTCTTTGTCAGGCTCACTAATGATCGCCACGTGGCAAATCCAGTGGTTAACTCTTATCCCTCCCTTTCTAGGCGGGACCCCTCGGCAGCGCTGGTCAGAGCTGGATCGTTCTCTCCTCCTCAGACCCTTCCTTCACCTGGACTGCAGGACAATCTCTCGTGGTTCTTCTCCCCTGGCTTCCCTCCTCATTCACCTCTGCTGCATTCTCAGTTTGCTGACTTCCAACCGTAAGAAATCCCCAGGCCTCGTTATTATCCACTTTCATTCCCTAGGTAATCTCATCCAGTCTTCCAGCTTTAACTATCATCTGTAAGGCGCTGACTCCCAATCCTGATCTCTCCCCTCAACTCCTGACTTGCACACTGAACTACTTATTTGAGTTCACCACTGAGATGTCTGATAAGTATCTCAGACTTAACATGCCCCAAATAGAACTCCTGGCATCCAACTGGCTCCCTGCCTACTGCCACCACGCACCCACCCACCCACCTGCATTTTCAACACAGCAGCCATAACAACACTGCTAAAGACAGATGGCAATTCTTTACTCAAAACCCTAATGGCTTCCAATCTCACTCAGAATAGTTTGTATCATGACCTATACGGCCCTATATGGCCTGGCCTCACTACCTCAATGGCTTAACATTCTACCACTCTCGCCCATGTTCAGGGTACTCCAGACCCGTCGGCCTCCTCACTGTTACTCAAACACCTCAAATGTGCTTTCCTCTCAGGGCCTCCACATTTACTGTTGACTCTGCCTGAAATACTCTTCTAAGACATCCGCATGGCACACCACCCAGTTCTTTTGGATTTCTTATCAGGATGATTCTCTGGTCATCATACATGAAACAGCACATGCCCAGGCAGCTCATTCTCCAGGCAGATCAAACTCTCCTTCAGTGCACTGTTCTCACCTAACACACATGTATTTGTCTTTCCTACCAGGAGGTAAGCCCAACACAACGTAACGCGTTTGTTTCCTCCACTTTCTGCTGCGTCTCCAGCATCTACCAGTGTGCCTGCCACAGAGCAAATGCTCAGTATTTGCTAAAAGTAAACAAACAAACAAAAAAAGGGCAAGGAGGGGGAGAGATGACTGAAGGCAAGGGTGAGGGAACTGTAAAAATCACAAATATTGGTATCATGTATCTTCTAAGATATCCACAGAAAACTTACCATTTTTGGAGAATTTGATATGCCCTTTATCTATGTCTAGGTAACATCCAATAGTATCATGCATAGTGAATTCCTAGAAAACCAGAAAGTCAAGTGCTATTAATAGAAAGCCAATAGTAAAGTTCAAATATAGCTGCATCAAATGTGTGTGTTAGTGTTTCACAAAACTCCTTGAAGCTCTAAGGTCAGGTCTAAAAACACCTAATATAGCCTATCATATATACTAGCAGTAGAAGCGTCTGACAGGCTTTTTAGAATCAGCACGGTGTTTAGGCTCCCAGAACAAGTATACTGAGATCCACCATGATTAAAAATAAGAAGTGCAAATAACGTATGTACTACAGTCAAAGCCAGAATCAAAATGGGGTGAAAACAGAAGATAAATACACTTTGGAGGTAATAAATGGCACACAAGAAAAATATTCCATTTGTAACATTTCTTCAGTGAAGTCCAAATGTGAAATGTTCTGTGGAAAGTGAGAAAAATCCACCTGAATTTGGGAATCACTTCTCTACCCTCAGTCTTGTTGTGAGTGATCAAGCATGTGAGAAAACTTACTAATGCTATGACGAAGTCAATGACGTAACTTACCTCTCCATAATTATCAAACTGTTTATTATGGGATTTCTTTCCTGTTCCACCAAAGCCGAATCCAAACTTGTCAGTACCTAGGTTTAAAACGTATTTTACTCATGCAGTGAGAGTAAATATAAAATTTAAAGCGCTGTAAAGAAGTTTACATATTAGCAAGAACTAGGAGCATCCAGAAGTACCATGTGGTGCTGACTCTACTTAGACTTCACTCATATTGCTAATCGTACTCCTTCTGATTTTATACTCTTGTAACATGTATTTTTGGTATTTCAAATCCTTTTTGGAACATGGTGAGGTATAGGTAAATATTACTATTTCCATGTTTCCAAAATATAAACATTGTCTGTAAAGTTTATTATTTTGCTCCCCATTACAATAAAATGATCACAACCCACAAATATGTAAATCAGTAAATTCAGTTATTTTAGAAACACTTACCTAGGTCTAAGGAAGCCTGCATGGAGGACCACCCAACTCTGCATAACCCTTGGTCATGACAGGAGACTTCAAAGTAGTGCTTTCCTACAAGGGCACAATACTTCTGAGATTTATATAAATTACACATGTATGGTTCATTTACCATGTAGCCACTCCCCTTTGTTTCTGAAATACAATCTGTGTGTTTCAAAGAACTGTAGAATCTTCTTGTGATATTAAAAATCTTTTCAGATCCTTGATTTAAAGCTATTTTAAGGAAGTTCACATATTAATATATTACCTCAAAAGTTTATGCAAGTACAAATGCTGTATAAATACCTTTCGTTAATCCTTTAGTAGCTCTACAGCCGTGCCATTCCTTTACTTCTCTGCTTTGACAGCAAAGACCATCTGACCCAATTGCTGGACACGAGAAAAACGCAGAAAACTATGTCAGCACAGATGACATAAATCATGCATTCTGAAGTAAGTACTGTTCAGTCTCACCTATTATTCCTTCACTTATATTTGAACTCTAAAGATGAAGTTGTACATTATACATCACAGTCAGTCAGTGTTACTGGTGCTTACTGGTTTTAAGTAAAGCATTTGGCTTTCATACTGGAAGGAAACTCTAACTTTCGTCCTGGTTCAGATTTGCAACCCATATTCAGCACCTGAACATAGAACTTCTAAAAAAAAAAGACCTTATCACACATTTCACTTCACTTATCAGAAATTATTTATTCAAAGTATTAATTCTTACTCATGTGGGTATGACATCATGTAAAACTTTGATCTTTTTAAAAAGTTCTTCAGCAATGGCAACTCCTTAAAATTTTTTGTATTTAAAATTCTTTATGCATATGTAGATATAAACTTTTATGTGCATTAAGTATCAGATAGCGGAGAGTGGCAGTTTGGGGTTTTTTGTTTGCTTTGGGCGTGATCCGTCTACGTCTGTTTTTGCCCATTCTACATTCTCTGAACTTGTTTTTCTTACTCTTCAATACCTCGTGAAAATGTCAAACTCAACACCAGTTCTGCCTCACTCTTCGTCACAGTCCTCGGATATACCTTCGCCTTTTAACCATTCTCCAAGACAGCATTCACTTTGTTGGTAGATTTACTCATTACAAAGGGTGCGGCATCAAGCAGCTCTGTGTGTGCATCCTTGCACCTGGCACTTTCATTCCAATAGGTCAGGCCTTGCAGGAATAGGTAATGTCAAAGTGCTTTCCAGAAAGGCAATACTTCAAATCAGTTATCACTCTTTTGTATTCTTGCCAATCAAATGGGTATAAAATAACGTATCACTGTAACTTTCATGTCCATTTCTCGACTACCTGTAAACTTCATTTTTGCATGTTTATTGCCACTTAGATTTGCTCTTCTGTGAGCTGTTCATATCCTTTACCCTGATTGGTTCTTTATCTCTTTCTTACCATACAAGTTAATACTTCATCTGCTATCTACATAAGAACCCCTTACCAGTTTATAAGAATTCTTCATCTTTCATCAACATTGCAAGTATTCTTTCTGTATTTATTTTCTGTCTATCAACTTTTTTGTGGTATCTTTTCCATATGTATATATATAATTTCTTTTATTTCATACAAATATACCTATACCTTTTCTTTTACACTTTCTGAGTCTCCTATTTGGGTTAGGAAAATTCTTCCATCTCTGAACTGTACATGTAGTCTTCTGCATTTAAATTTTTAATGTATACATATTTAAGTCATAAATACACATAGAACTTGTTTGTAATTATGATGTAAGTCAACTTTATATTGCTCCAGATGGATCATCAACTGTGACAATACCCTTACTGAATAAATTATCCTTTCCCACTGAAAAGAAATACCTTTTTTCCTATGTATTTATTTATTTCCATTATATTCCACTGGCTTGTTTTTCTACTCCTATGTCAGTACTATTCAACTGTAGTGACTATATTCTCATATTTGGTAAACTAAATCTTCATTTACTACTCTTTTTCATAATTTTCTTTATATTCTCAGGTATTATTTAAAATAAGTTTCTAACTTAAAAATGCCTGGCTAAAATCAATCCACTTACCAAAAGCAGATCCTCTGTCATATGGATTCATCTGCCATTTGTTGAGCACTAAACAAATCAAGAGAAGTTACTCACAAACATACTGTGTTAAAAATATACTATAAAAAATAAACTATTGCACATTTTCTGTGATACTTTAATTCTGCTGAATTTTACACATTACATGGAATATACAAGTAGAAGTGTTGCTGCAAAACTGAAACATGTCAAAGATAATAATTCCTGGCCCATCTGGGGCTACAGCCTTTTCCCCTCACTTGCTCCAGTGCACTTTGAATTAGTTGGCACTGATCTTTGTCATAACTGTGAGGGCATTGATAAAATGAAGGTTTGGTAACAAAACAGGTTGACTTCAGTCATAATGTAAACAACTGACCAACATATCTGTGTCTATCATTTTATCAGTATTAAAAAAAAGGCAACTCCTTTATCTTAAATAATTCAATATCACATTCAAAAATCACAAAGTTTTTCCTCCTCACTTTAATGGGGCTTACATTTTCATTTTCTGAAACACTGCAATAGTCTGTAGATAATCAAAGAATCATAATGGCTAGAAAGAATTCTAATGTTTTCAAGCCCAACTTTCCTCCCAAGACAGAAATCTTTTCTGGATTATTTCTGGTCAAATGGTATCTAACCATCTGCTTAAATACTTTGAATGATGGAGAAGTAACTTTCTCTTGAGGTTCTCTCTTCCACTGTGGGTTCATTCTAGCTACTAGGAGTTATTTAAGCTAAACAGAGGTCTTTATCTAAGATTATTTCTAATTAGTCCTGGTTCTACTTTATAGAATAATTTTTTTCTCTTCAGTATCCCTTCTCCTTTTTACTTGTTCTATACATTTAAGTATCTGGTTTCTTTATTCCTCATAGGACACGATTTTTGGGACCACTATTTTAGTTATTCTCCTTTGGAAAGATTCTTTTATCATCTCTCTCATAAATGATACTTTATAGTTTTACAAGTTATCAAAGTATTTTTGAATAGACCAATAGTTTATATTGGTTATCTATCTCACAATTCATTTACAAATGAGTTAACTTTATGGACTATGCAACACTATTACCTTCAAACTACTGAGAAAATGTTGACATGCCAAGTTCACTCCATTTAAGCTTGTAATTTTGTTACAATCCTGTTTATCATGAAACAAAACTTAAAATGTGAAAAAATTTTGTTAAAATATAACAAAACCATAGACTATTCAAGACAGAATGGAATTCCGAGACCATTTAATAAAAGCAACATAAAGATAAGGAAACTGATGTGAGACTGTCCATGGTCCAAACGGGACCAGAAACCCTAGTAAAGAACCAATCCCCATGTAGACAAGACTGAAAGTAAGAAACTGACCTTAAAGTTTACACTTTACATTTTAACTTCCTAGACTCTTTCTTTCGTATCTTAAATGGAAAACACATGCCTCTTTTCCCTGTGGAAGGCATTAATTCCCACCATCACGGGCTTTTACTCCAATTATTTGTAAAATCCTTCTTTAATACCTTCATAAAAGATTGTACCAATTTATTTTTAACATTAAGCATAAAAAGGTATCAAATTAAGAATAACATTAAAATAACTAAAACTTACAAAATGCAAGTGTTTTCTCAAAGACAGCATTATTAATATATCAGGAGGGACAATCTTTCACTGTTTATGCTATAAATGACATTTAGCATCCCTGGTTTCCAGGGTACAAATGCCAATACCTACCCCCCAAGATGTTGATAATTAACAGGCACACTTAAACCTCACCTCTGCAAATGCCAGGGATGAGACTAATCTATATGAAGAGGAAAATATTAATATGTAAAAATTACCTGAAGCACCAGTTTTAATTGTTGTTTTTCCTTTTTTGCCTTCCTGTTGGTCTTTCAGAGTTTCATAAACTATCTGGATAACTGGAATACTGAAAGCCTATTAAAAGATAATGGTTCCCTACATTAGCATTCAGCAATAAGTAACAAAAGTTATGCATGTACATTACACAATTAAGCTTACTCCACATTGCTGCTTGAATATCATTTGCCCAAACACAAAATACCAGTAAGATAAGAGAACTGACTAAATCAAGGAAACAGGAGCTAGCTGACAGCCCAGAGCAATAAGCAACGGGTACCTGCAGAATGATCCTACAATGGAAAAATATCATCCAGTCTGACATTTTTCTTTAGTCTAGGTCAACAGGAGACCAAACTCTATTTGCAATCTCTTTATTACTGGAGCTGTTGCACTGAAATTCAGACATGCTTATATAAACATTAAAGACACTGTAACTCTGTCTCCAAGACCAGTTTAAAACTATATTCTTAAAGCCATACTCTTACAGATCATATTTTAGACTCAGCTGACAACAAAAATATCCCTCTTAGTGGCAAGCAAAGAATACCTTACATTTTGGAAAAAGTTGCTTTATTCCATCTTTCAAAAAACTACTGCTTGAAGTTGCTTTAAAAATCAACTCTTATAAAGTAAGTCAATTTAAATGTATTACTTACACCAGTTTTTCCACTTCCTGTTTCTGCAGCCTAAATGAAAAAAATAAAAAGTTGATTTTACAGGTTAAGTGTCAATTAAAGAAGTCAAATTATCATGAGACCACATGGAAATCGTTAATATTTGACTAGCCAGCTTCATTTTCACAGTGCCTCAGGATTTCTCAGTCAACTATTGCCAATCTTGCACTACCCTCCCATTCCTTCACCACTCTGTTCTCCTTTTTTTCCCACTGCTACCATTCAAATCCAAGCCATGATTCTAAGCCAGATTACTACAAAAGTATCCTAGCAGTGCCTAGTCTCACAGAACTATACAAGCTGCTACCAATTTATTCTTTATAAACACAATCCTAAACATGCAACACATCCCTACTTGAAATTATCCAATGATCCCCACTGCCAACAAATACCAGTTCTTTAACATGGCACTTATCAGCTCAAACAATCTGACCCACTGTATACTTCCCATTTATCGTAAGTTATACCAACTCACCCCATTCATGTATTTTACGCTATCATCTAGTTCAACTACTCTAAGATCAGATCCTGCATTTCTCACTGTTTCTGCCTAGACAGCTTTCCTCTTCCATCCTACCTTGCCCCAAATCTACTTCCTCCAAGCAGAGCCCCTTATGAGCCCTCGAGCAGCATGACTTGGACCCCCATTTGAACCCTGTGGTACTCTGCATCTCTTACGCAGGTGCCATTCACTCTTGTATGGTATTCATCTGTATACATGTCTCACCATGCTACTGGATTTAAGCTTCTCAAGGGCAAAGACTGCACCTTATTCACCTTTGTGTTCCCCACAATTTCTATCTAGTTACTCTGGATTCAGTATATGTATCCTAAATGTGAACAAATAAAATTAATTTGGTGAAAATATAATTTTTAAGCCTCTAAAACATGTCACAAACAGCCTCAGAATTCTGTATCCCCGGCTCCCCACCACCTCACCAAATTTAAACATACCATCAGTACATCACCTCCTCCTAGGATCAGTGGAATAGATTCTGCCTGGATATCAGTTGGGAGACTAAAAGAACCATATTTTGAAGAATTTAGTTAGAAAAAAAAAAAAAACGACCTACACTAATGAAGCCATGTTAAACTATAATCCTAAAAAAACATTTTATTTGGTAAATACTACCATTCTTTTTCAGCTAAATTTTATCAAAGTTTAAAAAGGAAACTTCCTGTAAAGAATCACAATTTAACTTTTCCAAATAAACCCCAAATTATTTTGGAAAATACCTAACACGTGTCAATTACAAAACACTGTTGTCACAGGTACATTTAAGCTTTAGGTACTTACAGCCAATCCATCTCCTCCACAGCTTGCGCAATCTCAGGCATAACGCCCATCTCTGAAAATAAAAATTAATTTTGAAACCACACATACTAAACTCAAATCATACTAGTTTTAAAAAAAGAACAGAGAAAAAGCTTTGATGCACAGCTCAGTTTATACAGCACCTCCTGAGTGCGGCACTGTCCAAGCTCTCACTTACTGGCATGTGACCTTGGGCAAGTTTAAACCTGTTTTCTCCATAGAAAAGAAGGCTCCTATTACCTACTTGTAGGGATACAGGAAGATTATAGATAATAGTATGTAACGTATCTCTCACATACTTGTCACTTGATACATAGCAGTCACATTGTTTCCTTCCTATGACTAGTGAAAAATCTGCCAGTTAGAGGGTTCCAGACCAACATCGTGACTGTTTCATCTAGAGGTAACATGGATGCCGCTCATTTACTGGCAGACAGAAATCAAAACTCTGGTTAACAGGGAAAAAGAGGGGCAGAAGAAAAAACCTGGGGGTAACTGGAAATGTCAGCTGAAGACTTACTGTTCTTAACTGTTCACATATTTAAATAATTTTAAAGACAGTCCTAAATGAAGAGATGGGGCAATTTCTGATTGGATTTTGTCATTTCTTAAATGAACTGTGGTGGGGAGTCATTTAAGATGCAGTCAGTTGGTTTACTTACACCTTTCCAAATAAGAAATGATTTTTGTTTCAAGTCTGCATTTATAAAAATGTAGCTTTCATTACAAAAGTATATATTCCTAGTAAGAATTCACAATACTCAAATACTCCCAAGCCCCAAATATAACGAATTTGGAAATTTTGTATTTCTTTTAACTGTTTGTGAAAAGGTGTAAAACAAATATACAAATGCAATATATCCACTACAAAAGTAGTTTTTCCTTTGCATCGGGTGAGAAGAATCATACAAGCAATTAACACAACAGAGAAAACACTAATATTTTATTAAGTAAAATAGTTAATATAAACATTGATGACATGGGAAAGCATAAAAATCTTTCTCAAAAAGGAAGGTTCTACCTCTAAGCCTCCCCAGGAAAATTCACAGATTGAAAAACTAATCAAGATCTAAAGTTGTCTAGTCACGCAGTTTTCTAAGAATTGCTCCCATTAGAGTCTAGCTATATTCTCTCTTCTAAATTGCAAAATGCTTGAAAAAAGGGATGAACGCTGAAGCTCTTTATGAAACCATTTGATTGCAAGCAGCAACCCGACTGCTTTCAACAAATTCCAAATAATTCTTTCTCCATTCTTATGTTCTCTGAATGTTTGCTTTGAAACCATGTTTTCTTTATAACTTTTATAACACATAAGGGAGTATTCTTGTTCTTTAATTCTACTTCTGTCTATTTCGTATCACAGACTCTTGCCCTTATGCTAGCATTCCTGAAATTGTGCTCCCAAAGAAGTGAACCTACAAAATGAAAAAACTGAACTCTATACACGTTTTTGCTCTAAAATCTTGTTTTAGGAGAGAACTGGGAAGAGGAAAAAAAGCTGCCACTCTAAGTTATTTCCCCTTGCTTCCTATTATGAGATGCAACTGAAACAATCAGAAACACTCTTACATTACTAAAGATTCGGAATTCCTAATGTTCTTAGCGGAAAAAACTGAAGTACAATACTGTGTTATATCTGAAGTCCTCTCAATAGGTTAAGAACATTAAAAGATAAAGGCCTCACTTGATAACGTTTATTACTATATAAATTTACCATGTTTAGCATATATAAAGCTTATTGCAGCTTCATTAAACTGTACACATAAACGGAGGATGATAAAGGATGGAAAAACAACTACTAGGTTAGATAAACCACTTCCAAGTCCCGTTTGGAATAAAGAGTATCATACAACAAGTAACATTTCTCAAAATTGATGCTGGCTAGTGTGTACGCGGATGGGAATGTATTCCTTTCAGCTTCAATATTTAACGTTTATGTCGATGTAACAGTTTCAAGAAATTACCAGGTCTGTGCCTTGCACTTTTAGCTCTGGAAGGGCCTGAAAAAAATGGAGAGGCAGCATGGTCTGTAGCAACCGACCCCTTCCCACGCCCTGCGGCTTGTAACTGCCAAGCCCCCGGCAGGCGGGAGCAGAAAAAGGTGGCCGAGCCACTGCCACGTCAAAGAGGTGCTCCCGGAGCTGCTGCAGCGACGCCGCCGCAGTGTTTCCGCAGCCGCGGGCCAGGCGGGGGCCGGCGAACACACAGCAGGCGCAGGGGGAGAGCCCCTGCCTGCACCCGGACAGAAAGGCGCTCTCCGCCCCGCCGGGGCGCACGGACCGGGCCTCCGGCGGCCGCCCCCGGTCCCCACGCGGTGCGGGGACCCAGGGGACCTCCCCGGGTATCTCCCCCCGGAGCCGCGGGGCTCCAACCCGCCCCCGCCCCAGGGCCTCCCCGGCAGCCGCCCAGCGGCCGCGGATGGGTCGAGCCGCCCGCCCCCGCCCCAGCTGCATACGCACCCGAGAAAGCCGCCATCTTCGCTCCGTCCGCCGCCCCGCCGCTCTCGCTCTCCTCCCTCTGCACCGCCACGCTGCTCTGGCCGCGCGCGCTTCCGGTCGTCGGCCTGCAGTTATCCGAGTCCGGGCAGGGCCCCGGCGCCGGGAGAACGGTTCCTGCGCAAGAAGAGACCGCCCCGCGACGCCCGAGCGCGGCCCAGGTCCAGCGGGAACTTGCCTTCCTTGCGCCGCTGGGACGGGTCCGAATTAGCCGTACTAATTGTTACCATTTACCTAGAGCATGCTCTGCGTCATCAGGAGCCCTTTGCCCCAGAGAATGAGGCAGACGTTACGTGAGGAGGGTCCCACAGTGGCCCCGGAGGAGCTGACAGCAGAACTACGCCCTCCCGCCCCTCCCCTCGGCACCTCGTCCTTCCTCGGCTCGCCTAGACCATTCATTCATTGCCCAGAAAAACCAATGCTACAACGCCTGCACCCTACAGGCATTTACTGATATTTTTGACTGAAGTTAAGTAACGATTTCGGTCTCCCAACCTCCCTTCCAAGGATGTAGTTATCCATAACTTCACATTTATTTGACCTTTATGAGGTTCTGACCCCTTTCTCTTTGCAGGGAAGTAGGAACAGTAAATGAGTATCAATTCCTCCAACAACCTGTCCTTGTGTGTTGTAATCTTTAAATGAGGACACTAAGATTCAGGGAAAGTAAAGTAACTTATCTAAAGCTACAGAGCCACCGAATGGCAGCGTGGACCCTGAGCCACGTCTGCCCAGCTCCAGGGCCCAGGCTGTACCATCTAGATTGCCACAGAAGGAGATGGAGTAAAGTAAGCCCCTCTGGCAAAATGTGTGGGATGCAATTACAAGTTCAACTTGAGGAGCCCTACTCTCTGGGTTTGATTTCTGGCCCTGCCCCTTGCTAGCTGTGTAACTTTAACAAGTCTGGGCTTCAATTTACTCATCTATGAAACAGCCATGAATAATAGTACCCGTCTTGTAGGATTGTTACGAAGACTAAATAAAACAGGTAAAGCACCTAAAGCATTGCATAGCACATGGTAACAATATGTAAGTTTTAGCTCCACTATTACTATTACCTGTAACAGAATTCACCTGACAGCCAAGGACAATACATTCAGGCCTTCAGCTTCACACTTCCAAGGGACACCACTCACAATATTTTCTATATACTCATTATATTTCTAAAAAATTTGTATAAATGATGCCCCTGAGAGTTGTGCAATGTAACAGTTCTGAATAGATGCCATGCACCCCACATTCTTAAGACAAGCATGAGATCACATATTACACAGGACTTGTAAAGGGACATCTGAAACCTGACTTCTATGCCTTTAGCCAATCCCCACCTTAAATATGTAAGAGGATCAAAGGTGCACATTAAGGGAAAAGAGTTCTTTCGAGAGAGTTGAAGCACTGTGGCATTTTTCTTCTCTTAAGGGAGGAAGTGCTTTCCAGGGACTACTCAGAGAACTTTTGATCTCTGGGGTTTGGGAAGCATAAGGCTTGCTGTGAGAAGCCAGTGCTAGAAAGCCCTGAGGCAGCAGAGCGGGGAACCAGACGGAGAAGGCTGAGGGAGCAGACCACCCTCTGACAAGCTGGGGCAAACACGTGTAAATTTTTCCCTCAAGGGCTAACTGGACCTGTGGCAAAGTGGATGTGAAGCCATTTTCAAAGGGAATGTGCTTAAGAGAACTACCTGGAGAAGCTGAATGTCACATCACACAGACTCCCAGAGAACCCTGTTGTATTCATGCCTTCCAAGGTGAGGAGAGAGATCACCTGCCTTCTATGAGTTGCGCCAGGAGGATACCAGCGGAACAAGCTCCAAGGTACCCACAAAAAGTACCCCTGAGTGAAAGAGTGTCTTGCCAGTGGGTTTCAGCCCGGGGCAAGTTCACTATGGATTCAGTGTGATCAAAGAAATTGACAGCAAAACATTCTTGGAATGAAAGGGTTATACCCAAGTTTATTTCCAGGTGGCAGGTCAGTCACTAAAATCCCATTTACTCAGAGCAAGTCTGCATGCAGGAAGCCGGTCTCTGCCTCTGGGCCCCTCTGTCCGCACAGCCGCCCCGCACAGCCGTTCTCCGGGCCTTTCTGCACAGCCGTCCCACACAGCCGTCCTCTGGGCCTCTGTCCTCGGCGCTGCCACCACTCCAGCCTCTGCTCTGCTCTCCTGCAGCCCTGCCACCGTGTCATGCCCCGAGCACTGGGTTAAGCTCTTTATATAGAGTCAACAGCCATGTATTGCCCACAGGTGTGCAGTGAGCTAGTCAACCAGGGCCAGGGGAGAATCCTGGCCACAGGAACTCTCCTTCTATCCACAATGACGATGGTGATCTAAGTTTACCAGCCTGGGTCTGTCTACCTCTAGCTTTCTTGTGGTTTGAAAATGCCTTAAGTAATTAAGCCACAGTTAATTCTCTCTTGCTTGCAGCCCAACACATTCCTAACAGGTACAGAAAAGAAAGGAGATGAAACAGTCATTGGTATGAATTTTGATGTAATGACCCATTCAGAAAAATTTTTCAAGTGTTCTACAATTGAACGGTAAGCAATCTATTGTGGCTACAAAGAGGAGGGGACATTTGGCCTGGGTCATGAAGGCACTTCAAAAAGAATCCTTAAATATATGGTCATTTCCTCACAACCAGAAATTATGATAAAATGTGCCATATAGAATGGAGGAAGTGACCCTGAATCCAGCCTAGGGTGTATAAGTCAAATCAAGTTTGTTTCCTTCTTTACTTTCTCTTTCTGATACCCAGCCCCTCCCATCACCATCCAGCTCCTGACAAAGATAAAGCAAGCTGCCTAATTCCTAAGGATCTAGCCACCAAGAAGGAAGCAAAAAAAGAAACAAAGTTGCTTTAATGAAAAGAAATTGAGTAGAAAATACAGTATCTTCATTACATGAACCCCCAAGTCCTTCCTCACAGTACAATGAGGAATGATGATACATTGTACACAGTACAATGATGATACCAATCCACCCATCACTGCATTCAAGAAACTGCAGGCTTCTTCTCCCTCCTCAAATGCTGTCCTGGAAGTTTGCCCTCAGATCTATATGTTAGGAGAAAAGAGGACTCAGAAATACTTGCTCTGAATCCTGAATCCTTCTGGGAGCAGGCCCAACCTTCCATTAGGAATCCCTCTCCCCTTTGATACAACTCTTATTTGGTAAGGCTCCTGAATTCACCCTCCTTAGGATGGCATACAGCACACCCTCCATGTCCAGTGTCCTGCTTACTTCCAATTCATTACCTGGGGTCATTTACCATCCAGCATATCAAACTAAGGAGAATTCCTAGCATATAGCAGATTGCCTCTCACCACTTTGTGTTTTCTTACGTTTTTCCTCTCCCAAGAATAGTTTGTTATCTATTAATTATCTCCCTTATTAGTTTCAGTTATCTATTGTTGCATAACACTTACCCCAAAACTAATAGACAAGCAGCTTATTTGCTCATGATTCTTTAAGTCGGAAATTGAGGCAGGGCTTAGCCGGCTGACCCTTCTGCTCCATGGGGCATTACCTGTGGTCATTTGCTCAGCTCCCTTCGGCGGGGACCCAGGCTGGGCTGGAAGGTCTGAGAAGATTTCACTCCCATGTGTGGTGCTCCAGCTCCTATACACGGTTTTGCTCTCTCCACATGACCAACTTGGGTCTTCTCACAGCAGGATTAATCCCAGGGAAGATAGACTTCCCACATGGCACCTGGGTTCCAAAAGAGCGTGTTCCAAAAATAGAAAGCAGAAGCTGCATAGCTCTTAAGCCAGCCTTGGAAGTGGCACAGTGTCACCTCTGTCAACATTTATTGGTCAACACATGTGACGTGACCAGCCCTGCTTGGGGAGGTGGGGAAATAGGCTCTGCCTCCTCATACAGTGAATGGCAAAGACTTTGCAGCTGGCTGTTACACCATGCCTACCTTCTTCACAAACTCCTAATTATTATTCAAGTTCAGCTGTGCTTGCACCTTGGGGCAAATCCTGCTTAATGCCAAACCCCAGCTAGCAAATACTGCTACTTTGCCCCAGTGTTTATTTCTCTTTTTTTCTTAAATTTCTGACTCTTAGCTGGACATGAGTGCTCAGAAAAAGGACTCCATTTTCCTTTTCCTTTGGGACTTAGATATGGCCATATGTCTGCATTCTAGGCAGTAGCACAAACACGGAAGTGTCCTTAAGGGAGGCAGTACATCCTTCTTGCTCTTTCTCCTTCCTGTTGGCTGGAATGGGGATGTGATGGCTGGTGCTTGAGCAGCTGCATCAGACCATGAGATGAGAGTCATATACTGAGGATGACAGAGTAAGAGAGAAGTAGCTTGAGTCTGAGACACCAAGGAGCACCCTTCTAACTAAAACTATAACTCTATTAGATTTCCTATGTGAGAGAGAAGTAACATCTCTTTTCTCTGTTTCTGGTTTTCTGTTCCACACAACTAAACCTAATCCTAATTTGTATATCCCCATCAATTATCTCTTACTACAAAACAAGTTGCCCATGGAATCTAGCGACTTAAAACAGTAAACTTTTATCGTCGCTCACAGCTTCTGTGGAACCGAAATTCAGTAAAAGGCTGGCTGCTCACTTCCACTAGGAGTCGCTGTTTCCTTTGTAGTGAAGCTGCTCGCTGAGATTGCATCACCTGAAGGCAGGGAGAGGGGCTCAGCTATTCTCAGGACTGTGTGGCAGGTAGCAGAGGCCTCTCTGTCCTCCACATGGACCTCTTCTTCAGCTGCCAGAATGTTCCCCTGACGTGGCTGCTGGCACCCCTGCCCCAGTCCCTTGGCACCAAAACAAGCAATCCTAGAAAACAAAGCCAGAGTGAGTGGTATGTTTTATGGCCTAACCTCAATGTCACACACTGCAACTTCTGCAAATATCTTATTGGTCACAGAGGGCTATTCAATGTGGAAACACACAAAGATGTGAGGACCAGTAGATAAGGGTCATTTTGGAGCCATCTCAGAGGCTGCCTACCACATCTCCCTAACACCCCCTCATTTGCTCAAGTAGTGGGTGTTAATCCCTCAATACCAGGAAAAAGTATGTTCCTACAGCATCCTCTGGGATAAATCATGTTCGTTCTAGACCCGCCATTGTTGTCATTTAATTTGCTGGCTTAGCTTACCCTGCTTTTCTCAATTTACCTGACTCAGAGAGTAGTTTGGA